ATTGAGATATTATGTTATATGACATGTACATCACGAAAAAACATGTCACTCATTTCCGTCGGTCTGTCTGGCTACTTGTCAGCCTGGCTACTTGTCTGTCCGTCCGCTAATCCTTCATCCCTCTATAATCTGAGAAGTACCTGTCGGATTTTGATACAATTTTCACACAGGGCTACTACTATATCGAGGGCCAAAAACCTTTATACCTTTTGAAAATCGGTCCAGTGATGGCGGAGAAAAAGGCTAAAAACGAAAAATAAGATGTAACGTAAGACATAGTCGCTTCTGCACTGCTGTTGTGGGCTGTGTGCGCTGTGCATGGTAAAGACTAATATTATCATTCGCGCGGGATTGGTCATCGCAACGATCATGTGCCTGCAGAAATTCTTCTCAGGGGAGGAGGAATGTCATTTGATTTATGTTATACATGTTCATAGCTAAATTTTTTTTCTCAGAAGGACTAACTTGTGCCAAAGATAATCCTTTTCGAACTGCGTTAACTATACATACGGCGTTTCTACAACCGTAGTTAATGTCTGTTTGCAAAGGTAGACAAAGAATCATTCTCAAGAAAGCGTTTGTCCTTTCTAAATTCCAGCGAATGTTTTTTAGATTGCTATCTAGAATTTTCAAAATGTAAATTCTTAGTAACCATAGTATCATGGGCTTAGCAGTACGAACGATATCAGACAAAGTATCAGCGACTTCACTATCGAAATTGTGAAAACTATTATTTGTTGTCTGTACTTACAATACGCTTCACTATGATACCTCGATGCCTTATACCATCGAGGTCCATCTGCTAAGATTGCGTGTACGGGTGGGTATATTTCTCTTACAATTAAAATCTAATATTTACTAAAGAATGTTTGTTATTAGGAAAGTTTGTTTTTACAACAACCGTGTGAAGGAAAATACAGATTCTAATAAACCCGTACATACATTTATGGCGAGCATTTTTTGCAGTGGAATGGAATAACTGTCAATTTTGTCTGTCCTCAATAAACTCAGTTTTGTGGGCCATACAGCAAGTGGTACAACGTAACTTTTAACTGATTGGTTGTAGAACAAATAAATTTGAATCACCCTGTAGACTGCATATATCGCTATGTAAGTGAGATGTATCTTTTTGCCGCTCTATTGGAACAACAAATATTTGTTCTAACTAACAACAAATATTTCACTTGACGTTCGTTTGCCTGTTTGTATGCTTACTGACGATGTGACGGCAAGGAAGGTTAGTAATACGGACACTCAAGGATCATCGGGATTTTCTTTTCTCGCTCGGCCTCAGACACGTCACATTGCTATGTCGTAAATGCAAACATAGATTGTAGATGCAACAACCACACAAGTGGCATGAGAAAAAATTACTTACACATATATGAGTGTGGGTGAGGGGAGAAATAAAATGTCAAAAAAAAATTACGATGTGAAGTGACACATTATAAGTATTTTTTTGAGAGTCCACAGTGTAGCACAGTGTAGTACGGGAAAGCAATACTCAAACTTTCGCGAAGAACGGCATGGGTATCATGTAAGAAACCTATAAAACGTCAAAAAACCTATAAGATGTCATCTTGCAAACTAGGTAGTTTTTAGAGCGCAAACAGTCATTCCACGTGTGCGCACTAGGATCGTTGAGAAACGTCCACCTAAGGAGGAATAACTCTACTAAACTAAACGCATTATTGATGGCATATGTTTTGTGAGGCCAAATGATCCTTGTCTGTAGTTTTTATCTCTGAGAAGAAAGTTGGTTGAATCGCAAGATTGCATCTGGATGATTATGTGTATTGGTCTGCATGTGTATAAAATCAGTGATTTGCTGTGTGAGAAAATCATTACTGAATATGCTGCCAATGAAGTATATCTATTGGCTGTGCCCGACGGGTTATTTTTATTTTGTGCTTTCTGAAGAGAGGTTCTGTTCAAAGTTAATTACGAAAAACTGAGGAGAATTACGGGAAATCATCACTGCACCCGCCTTATGTGTAATTACTGTTAGCATGGATATATTTTTGAAATACAGCAAATTTGTATTTGTAATTTCCAGAATGGATAAGAAAAAGTGGATGCGCAACTATTTTCTAGCTTTGAATCTCAATTAAGTGTTTTTGAGACAAGAACCCAATGTAATTATCATCAACACGTACAACTTAAAGCTTAGACCTCCAGTAAAGCCATCTCAGAAGCAGATTTTACATCACATCAGAGCCAAAGATTCATAACAAGCCTCATGACGTTTAGGCTACACGTACAACTAAGTGCTAAGTTAATATCTGGTAAAAAAACCTACATAATTTGAAAAAACAGCATAATGTCAAAAAAATCGGCATAATGACACTTTTCAAGATACGTGATACCAGTGCGGGAATACAGGAAGGCGGATGTGACGTCTTCCAAACATCAAAAAATCAGGTGTTATGTTTAACCGCCTAACGTAGGTGAGGTACTAGCGGGTGACAGGTCTTATGACAATGTCTATTTAAAAAACAGACATCTCAATTGAATCGGTGAGATGAAAAACAGTACAAGTCCAAAATTTGTCGTATTTAGTTAGGATAGCCAAGCGCCTTTAAATTTGCTTTTCTATCGACTGAGCGTACAAACAGTACGTTGTACATCCCGTTCTATTGTAGACGCGAACATGCTACTTGTCAATGAGAGGAAAACAGTACTAGTCCGGTCTTGTACTGTTATTCAACTCACTGACGTAACCACACAATAGTCCGATTCCTGCTTGCACTACAGGCAACTACCCGTTTTAAATAAAAGTATCAATATTTTCCTGTGCGTGGGTATTCGTTTTTACCTTGCGACGGTGAATTTCACCATTCACTGTTAGCAAATTCGACCATTTGAAATATATAGTTGACTTCAAAAATTGGTGGTCTTTACACTACAAAAAAATTAATTGTACTTCGATAGGCGAAAACAACACTAGAAAAAAACGCTTAGCATTTCGAACTATAGTCAGTTTCTATATGATAGTGACACCCCTCGTTACGTCATGACATGGGGGTATATAAATGGTTCGTCTTCATTCACTTTTAAACTTCTGAAACAGAATAAAGCTAATCCGGCCCTTCCCACTGAAAATGCTTATAAAATACCCATTTCAATAAATAAGAAAAAGATTGATAACATCAGAGAGGTGATACAACATATAATTGTATTATCATGTTACTTCATGGTGCACTACAGAGGTCGAAGAGGATCCCTAAATAGTTTTTTATACTTAATAAATAATTTTGTCCTGGTTTTTTAGTATAATTTCGCCAATTTGACACATTTTTTTTTGCTTGAGTTGAAAAACAGAACAAGTCCACTACCCTTTGAAGGGCATTACTCAATATGTGACCTTTTTTCAAAATAATAAGTGCTTACCTGGATCAGAAATAATAAGAGCTAGAACTTTCCTGTGCATGTAAACATTCTATCTGAAATAGTTTTAAAGCTATACGGTTTTCATTGGTTTTCTCAAAAGTTCAATTTGGGGCATGCACTGTTTTTCATATCACCGATTCAATTGAGAATTCGTCTTCGCAGTGCCAAAAATTGAGTTAAAATATTAAATCATAAGTCAAGAAAATGGAGGAACAGGTCCTCCTGATTTTAAATGATGAGGAAGAAGACTATGAGGTCATCGTAGATGTAGGAACTGCACTTATCATATCAAACGGTTGATTTTATTGATATACTTTGGAGAAAACACGATCGGTCCTTTTATTTCATATTCAAAGGGAGCAGCTAAGATAATCAAGGAACTTGATTCAAAAATTTTGCGCAACCTAACAACTCCCGGTGTAACTTGAAACTGTCAAAAGTTCCAGAGGAGGGGTAAATTCCATTTGTCTCCGCTCCATTCACTACGGGATTTCGCGAAAAAATATTTTATGTACGTATGTGAGTCGGGGCACTAAGAGTAGATCGATCCACCCTCTTGTTACCCTAGAAACGAAAAGATTGATTGTTCCAGCCAGTTCTATACATAGATAAAATGGGAAGAAGAAGCCTGGTTCACTGGTTATGTTGATATATCGGTAGAAAAGGGTCAACTGACCGATCTTCCGTCAACATAAAACAGTTTTGAGATTGTCAGTTAAAGAAGTGTCAACGATTAGTTGCACTACCCTTATTTGAATCAACTCATGCAACGGCAGTATAATTATGGCTGCAGCTCCCCGGCCCTGCAAAATAGTTTTAATATCAGGTTTTGCTGGAGCAAGGTACCTGTGCAACAAGCTACAGAAAGTTTCCTACAAATAATGATCTTTTTTTGTACCTTGGATGGTTTCGTGAAACCATCGCCGCAGATATTATTCTAACTAGGAATACTTTACCTCGACGAAGCATTCTGAAAATTGACATAATTTAAAATAAGATATTTGATACAAATTCTATCTACACTAGATCCACATCTAATTGTAGATATGTCGTGTGAGTATAAATCGAGGTACACATACTCTATTGGATACCTTATTTTTAGTAAAGTCCATTTTATGCAAATCGTTGCAGGGCAGCTTTCATATCGAAACGACCTAGATGTTAGATATCTAAGAAAACTCTTTGAGAGTGAGCAATTTTTGTGTATAAAGATACTGAATGACATGGGAAATAAATTTATCGCACCAATTTATGGTTGGGTAAGTAACCGATCAAAATTTCAAAAAACCCAACCGATGAAAAAGATGTAAAGAGTCAATAATGTGTTACGCGTTCACGATGTCTTATGCACCCAGAAACACCTCTGGACAAACTCCTAATCAGATCCTGTTGCTATTGAGGTATCTCATGGCATGCTACTTATACAAACCTCATGCCAAAGTAAGGCTTGGGGTATGGACATTGTCCAAACACTCTTTGATTAGGATTTGCTCAATATGGCGGACCGAACGACAAATATACGGGGAAGAGAAGTGAAAAAGCGGAAAGAATACGAAGAATCAGTTGAAATGTTCTAAAAAGAATTCAGATAAAACTAGATCATTGAGCCAATGAACGATATAAGGTATATTCATGTTAGACTAATCTTTGCTGCTCCCGTATGACGTATGACGAAACTATTCATCCTACAAAAAATACTAAATAACTAGGAAGTTTTAGATTTTCTCCAGTTTAATTTGTCCTATTGTCAAAAAAACGAAGAATCTTTACCAGAAACGCCAAATATAATAACTGATAAAAAGACCGAAATCTCCCAAGAAGATGTGAAACAAGGAATAAGTAAATTAAAAAATAGAAAGTCACCAGGAGAAGATCAAATACCAAATGAACTCTTAAAATATGGAAGTGATTACCTTGTACAACAACTGCAACTCCTTATTCAAAAAATAATCACCACGAACAGAATACCAGATAAATGGAGGAGAGCGATCATGCTAATGTTCTTCAAGAAAGGAGATAAGAAAGACCCCAACAGTTGTCGAGTAATAAATCTGTTAAATACAACACTTAAATTGACAACAAGAATAATAGTGACAAAAATAAACGAACGAATAACTCTGCAAGAGGAACCAGCAAGGATTCTGGACAGAAAGATCATGCACGGATGCAGTTTTTGTAATAAGACAAATAAAAGAAAAGTCGCTGGAATACAACAAACCAGAATATATGTACCTGATAGATTTGAAGAAAGCGTTTGATAGAGTGAGAATTCGGGACGCGGTACATTTATTATATGACAGGGGAATACCACTGGATTTAGTAAAAACTATTGAGAATATATATAAAGATAACATAGCTATGGTAAGATGTAAAGGAACACTCTCGTAACCTATCAAGTATGAAACTGGCATTAGACAAGGAGATTCGCTGAGCCCACTAATATTTAATCTGATAACGGATGAAATCATAAAGAAAGTTAAAAAAAGAAGAGGATATAGAATGGGAGAAAAGGAAATGCAGATAATATGCTACGCCGACGACTCCATAATAATAGTCGAAAATGAAGATGACCTACAAAGATTAATTAAAGAATTCGAAGATACGGCGCTCATATACAACATGGTGATTTCAACAGAAAAAACTAAATCGATAGTGATATCAGCGGAACCGAGACGATGTAAACTGGTCGTAAATAACAAAATAATAGAACAAGTGATGGAAACGAAATACTTGGGAATCAAACTGTCAAGCTATGGAAAAGTGGAAGAAGAAGTACAAAAACAAATGAACGTGGCGAACAGAGCAGCAGGATGTCTCAACAATACAATCTGGAGAAACAAATACCTCACAACGGAAACGAAAACTAGGATATATAAATCAACCATAAGACCGATAATGACGTACACAGCGGAAACAAGAGCAGATACGGCGAAAACACAAAGATTATTGGAAACAGCAGAAATGAAAGTCTTCCGAAAAATAACAAACCAAACTCTGAGAGACAATGTAAGAAGTGAGGAAATACGAGCGAGACATGGTATAGAGGAAATAAACCTGTGGACCAAAAGAAGAAAAACAGAATTGAATATACACATAGAAAGAATGACAGAAAATAGAACAGTACGAATAGCAAGAGACAAATCGCCAAATGAAAGAAGATCAATGGGTCGACCGAGGATGGTCAGACAACATCAATTGAAGTAAAACAGACATGAGCCTATTAATAAAGTAGGAAGAAGAAAGTCATTTTTCCTCATATAAAAAGTCAGATCATCACAAAACTAGTTTTTGGGCAAAATTTCATTAACATGAATTGCTCGAGCAAAAAATTTGCGAATTAGCAAAATGAAAATTCAACAAAAATACGTCTACGGGGTGTTTCAAATTCCACTCTCCTCTTGGGTAAAAGATACGAAGTCAGTTAAATGGGGGAAAAGTTGCGCAGTCAGTAAGTGAGAAAATGAACCGAAATTTCATAATTCAGAGTATTTTCGGAGACCGACGAAGAAAGTTCTTTCCAAAATCGACTTTAGTTTTACTAACCTTATTTGTAATGTGATTTCAAAATGAAGTGCACGCAAATGAAACCTCGGCCGAAGATCAATATTATTTAAATGCAAGATGTGTGTATCGACTTAGACATGAAGGACATCAAAAATATGTTTAGCAATATGCATCATCGTCGATGCATTTACTCACTCACAAATTGTACCGTTTTTATTGATACCCTTAAATAATATGATAAAGTTAGCAGTATACTGTTCTTTATTTGATGAGTAAAGATCAACTAAAGGAGGATTATCACTTTTTTTAGTCATTTGATGTTTTATGCTATCGGAACTGTTTACCTATGCCCTGTTCATAAGGACTAGAGGGAGGCTTCTGATTCTCTCATTTTCCCTGTTACCTAATTGCGCCTCTTTGCCTCATCTAACCGACTTTCTATCTCCGAGATCCAAATGGTAAAAACACCAAATGGTTGGACTATATAGCTTGATGTGCCAATTCACTGCCAAATGGCGATCATTTGCTGCAAATCCTCCTTCCTTGACAAGGATGCGATATGGATAGGTTTACTTAATCAACCCACCCTGTAGAAAATTATGTGAATTCCCACACACTTCGCCTAAAAATGACTTATTCAAATGAAGCGTACACTTTGTATTAGCATAGTAATGTGAGCCGGTAAAGTGGCGGTGATTCGATTTGGAAAGGTTCGATTCGCGACTTATCTACATTTTATTGTCTTTCAATTAGCAACCTCTCGTGCAGATACCGAGCTAATGGATCCACAATTCGCTATATAACGGAATACGGCTCTACCTATGGGTTGATTAAATCAATATTATAAAATAGGTGCGGTTTTCTACAAACGTCAATTCACACTTGGAGAGCACATAGCGAATCAAGTTTTTATTCCACTATCATAGTAACCTCGGCGTCGCACACTGTAATGTTTGCATTAAATTACTGAGTCACCTAATAAAACAAAAAAGCGTATAAACGCTATAAATGTAGCAGAAATAGTATTTATACTAAGGTTATAGTTTCATTCTAAAACCGAGACTTTATCTAATTACTATTCTAATTTTTTTTACTAACGCGTAGTCTCAGTCTCCAGCTAGGTAATAGACAAAGGAATACCAAAACACTCTAAGCTTCATCGTATTTTTGTGCTTCTCATCATTTTTGTTGCTATCAAAAATTCAAGCGGCATACTTTTTTAATATCGATTCTCATTAACTAATGTTTTTACAGAATTTTCATTTCAGCGAATTTGTGCGTATAGGTATCTGAAATTTTAAAAAATTGTACAATTAGTATTTTGCATAATTTGTAACTGTATAAAGTTGTACATGTACATGACCAACTGAAGCTGGAATTTGAAAATATAAAAGTATAATGATTTTATAGAAAATGACTCCATACTGCCACATTCCAACTTGTGAAGAGTGTGGTGTTTTCAGCTAACTATGAGAGTAAATTTTGTAATATCGTTCTTCGAAATAATTTCCAAGTCGATAAATAGTAAAATATTATTAGTGTAGGACTTTGATGCTGAACACCGGCTAGGGATGTAGTTCATCTAATTCTAACTGAAACAGCGAAAAAAAAGTGGAGCCGTCAAAAAAAGCGTCAGGTCCTATATAGACAGGTAATATAAACGTTTTCGAGTGAACAATCGTCAGAGTCATGAGTTATAACGTCGATACCTCGAGATCGTTTTTTAAAAGATTATTTTCGAAAATACAAAACTAAAAAATGCACTTTTGCAAAATTATTACAATGTTACTATGATGTTAATAGTACAAAGGCTTAAATCTGACTGACTATAAAATGTGTTGAGAACAATAAAGTAAACTCTAGGTCTTGAACTTCGGGGAAGAATTCTTCACGGAAGTTGAATAGGATGAAGTTCGACTTCTGGTTGCTGAATACTTCTATTTCTGATGATTTTCCAGAATGCGTAGACATCCAAGAGTAATATACATCCATATGTATATTATCAGTGTCCAGGCGCTGGGTATAAAAAAGTCTGTAGGTTTCTTGAAGTTGAGTTTGTTGTTGATGATACTTGACTTGATTTTACTTAACTCGTCCAGCTTAATTTCTTCTAGATGCAGACTGAAATTTGTTTCTGTGATGTCGCCTTTAGTGTTCAGGTTTACATCCGGGAATGTAATAGGTTGGCCCGCGACAATCGTTTCGAGTTCATTTTTGATAATTTGATGATTAATTTCGGCTTGACAGTTGACAGGCATATGAAGTAGGTAACTTCCCGTCAATGTTTTCATTTGCATTTCTTCGTGGCATTCCATTTTGGTAACTTCTTCAGGCTCAATACCCATTGATTAGTCCGCTGGATTCGTCCGATACTTAGCTGATTGATTATTAGTCGAGTTCGGGCACATGCACGGACCATTGATGTCTTGCAAGTTGGTCTTCAGAGAAACTGTTTAGGAGTAATTTCAGTACAAATGTCGCCGAAAAGTGGAAAGTGCAATTCTTTTTATGCCAAATAAGGCTCTTTTGGAATGATAGTCTTAAATAGACCTTCAAAATACATCGGGATTGGAAAGAAACGATATAAATTAAATGACTCATAGTATGAGATTGGAAGTGATAAAACGAATGTAATTTTGTTGCCCAAAGAATAACTGGAGATTTTAAAAAAAATTAAAAATTGGGTATGTTATCTAGTAAAACTGGTATCGCAAATTTTTCCTGGCCTAATATTGAGCTCAATAGTTTCAGTTCTCCAGAACTTTCTTCGATTGTAATAATGCTAGATTGAATTGTTCCAAGACGTGCAAAAGTTATTGAATTTTCAGCGTCTTGTAATAATGACAGAGTTACTTCATAGCTGTTCATAATTTGAGATACTGTGTCTACTATGAATCTATGCTGATCTGAATCGATTGTAGCATATATGGTATTAATTTTATTATTCAGCAATTGTTCATTATGACAGACTTGCTGACCAGTTTTATTGAATATCGACCTTTTTCCTCGCTTTGTATGGGGAAATATATTATGTAACTTTTGTTCTACCTATCCCTGAACAAATTTTGATGTTCTGAAATAATTGGACAAATATGTAGTGACATTTAAACTTGAGGAAAT